CGCGAATGTCAAGAATTTTATGTAATTTTAAATTCAGACATTAAGATATTGATGTAGAAAATATAAGCCGACCATCTAAAATACATGAAAAATGCAGTCTGCTATAAAATGAATTTGACAAAAAAAAACAAACAAAATCCGACATTTTCACTTACTATGGCAGAGCCGGATTAGTCAGGGGCGATCTGGAAAAACAGAGAGTGAACCGCGGTTTTGATGGATGCCGCTCTAGCTTTTAAAGTTCCCAGGAAAAATTATATATATATATAAATTACAAATGCAAAAATTAATCTTGTAATTTTCCATACATTTTTATAACAACGAATTGTGGAATTGGCTTCCAATACATTGTTGTGTTTGACAATATGTAAGGTAACCAACCCTACTTTAGATAGATTTGTACTACTTTTTCGTAACCGTATTCCTTTTAAAATTAATTCGTGCAGCCGAAATGCACCTTTTGTACCCTTAAAAGTTTATGTTAACTATAACGGTTAATTTTAATTTATGCAACTTGTGAAATGTTCATAATTAACCATTTCCTTCTAAACAGTTTACATGAAAAAAAAAGATTGGACTCCTTCATTCATTAGGGATTTATATAAGATTCTAACATTAAATTTTATTTTTCACCGAATAGGATTGAGTGAAAGTGTATAGTGCTTCCACACCATAGGTCTGGGGTTCTATTAACGGGCTGCGCAAGGTCGACTCTGCCTTTCATCCCCGCTACATTGGGTCGATAAATGAGTACCAAGCTTGCTTCGGGTCTTAAACACTGAAGGTCTCTCTTCAGACAGACCACCAAATCGGGATATCTGTTCATGCACCTCAGCGTCCAATGGTCACGTGTATTATGATGGGCACAGTTGTTCCTGGCCCTCATGGATTGTTGTGCTTCTGAGTTTGAGTCTTAAGTTTGAGGATTACCTCACTTTGGGGATACCCCTTAGATAAACATGTATTTCTACTCATTTGCAATTAAACATTTTTCTTTCAATTACGTTTATTTCAGAAGGAAGTTTGATTTTTCAAATGTATTTGCTTAACAACATGTATATTTGTGTGTTATATTAAAAATTTGATCAATCCAAAATTACATGTTTTTAGCTCCTCTAAAAGATTTTAGGATTTTACAACTGATCTTACGATCCATATACGTTTTATAGTAGTATATTTAAAAATGATAAGGACATTTTTACGACTGTGTGAGCTGTTATGCCTCGTTTATAAATATAAAAAATTGCATTCAGCTACAGTTTTTAAAATGTACAGAAATAAGTGGAGCAACAGGATACTTACATATTATGAATATTTTTGACTGCAGTAAGATATATTTATATTTCAGTTTCTTTACAATTTTGAATAGAAGTTGTAAGCCATTTTGCGAATAGTTTGATATTGAGTATAAACCCATAGGCTGTTTAATATTGTAAAGTGTTTTACTTTGATACCAGCACACATTAAAATAAGGCTCATTTGCAGTTATATGATAAGCTTCAGTGATATTTAAATTTTCAAAAATAGTCTACACGTACGAAAACATTCTTTCACAACCGCACACCACATCTCATACTATATCTTCCCTACAGCAGGAAATATTTGTGTATACTGAAAAATTTAATACAGGATACATTTCCAAGTGTTAAATTTGTTTTTAAAATTTGGTATGAATACATTGTGGAACTGTCTGTTAACTTCACTGAACAAAATTGTTTTAAGTGTACTGTTTTGAAAGACAAAATTAATTAGGGAGAACTTTTCTCACAATAGAATTTGTAATGACTGAATTGTGTGAAAATGTAGTTATCGATGTGTGACATTTTTCCTTGTAATAAAAGAAACAGAAAGATAAGAAATTTAACTTGAGTAGAAAATGGTTAGAAGTACTGTCATGCGCATTTGAAGAAGTATATTCCCCATTAAAATTAAAAATTATTGACTGAATGTGTGTTATGTCCATCACAAATGCCGATGTAGAAAAGGAATTTTTATTTAATACAAGAAGTTCGAAAAGGAGAACACTAGGAAAGAAAATTTAAATTTTTTCCGAAAAATATTCAGTTAACATAAAAATATCGTTTATGTGATTTTAATTAAAATAAAGTAAAAGTATTGAAATCCTTTTTTATGCTATTTTAAATTAAAAATGTAACTGAATAGAGAAAGATCGGTTTTATTTCATAAATATAATCATCGTATGTACCATTTATTGTGTTATTGTTTAAAAATGAGATAGGGTCTTTGCTCTTTTTACCTCATTACTTTTTTAAAAAACAGGAAAGTGACCTCGTTTTCTTACTCTCATATTCAAAAATGAATACAGGATGCTTTTTTCTGGTTCAAATCGCAATACCAAAAATATATATATATTTTTTTTAATTTTTAAAAAATGACAGAAAAATAAAATTTGTTTGAAGAAAATATAATTATTTTTCAACTTCTAACATACTATTTATTTCATTTTTTTTTTTTTTACCCTGCATTTTGTTTTTAATTTTACTGTGACGGAACATATAGGAGAAAGAAACACCTATTCCACTACAGTTTCATACAAGATTGCCCAAGGCAACTCTACAGCTAGCTGTAAACGATTGATCTCTTGGTTCTTACTTGACAAAGTAACCGAACTAGGTCATAAAATTGTCCCCGTTCGACCTCCCAAGTTCTAAAAGGGGGAAAGGAAAGAAGGCTGTTGCATTTTTAAAGCGATCTTCAAAATAAGAGTTAACGCTTTCGGAATAACTTTTCAGTAGGAAGGTATCCACTTAGAGGGTTTATTATAAACCGTATAAAATATAAAGATAAGTATCAAATTTTGTACATAATTTTATAACATGCCCATAGGGTAACTGGTAATTCTTAAACTTGTGCTTAACTTAGTACCATTAAACTAATTATGAAACACACATTGCAGTACAGATATATTTATAAGTGTATTATATCAGTGTAAATGTGTGTTTTACTTTTTATTATGTCAGAATGTATTTTGTTTCGCTTCCTTTCAGTAAATTAATATTTTTTCAAAAACTAATCTAATCTTTCGTTTTCAACTTTTCAATGTACTCGTGCCCCCTTGTAGGGTTATCACGCCCCCCCCTAGTGAGGCGCGTCCCACAGTTTGTGAAACACTGTGTTACATTTTTATAGTTTTGTTATCTGATGTAATGTTAAAACTCAGAGCTAAGCGCGCAATAAATTACAATTCTTCAGTTTAGAAGATCATTTTAATTAATGGAATTTCAACTATGAAAAATATCTAAAGTATTAAAAGTAAAAATAAATTTTATCCTTCTGTTTAATTGATAATATATTCCTTTCCTTCGCACATTTTTGGTGATATTTTTGCAGCTATTTACAGTAAGAAGGTCAAAATTGTTGACATATTTTTATTGATTTACATTCAGTTTCTATAAGCAATGTTTCAAGTTAGTACATAGTCCCTTTAGAAACTTTCAGCATTCAACACCTTTTTCACAAAGCATGCTAGTAACTGTTAAAAATTCCTTTAGACCATATTTATTATAATGTAACAGAAATGCAAAGGAAATATCAGAAATTTTTCAATACGAATATTTTACATGTAATTTTGCTTAAAAAAACAAATACCCTTTATTACATTTTTAAGTACAAAAATGTCTCACTTTATTACATTTGCATAAAAAAATAAGCTTAATTGGCAATAGGCAAAATTTGAGAGCCATTTATGAGAAACTTCTATAACAAAAATATATCAGTTGGGCAACTGTAAATAATAACTATTAAAAATAATTTGATTCAAACATACTACCCCATAATGTAATAATTTGATTCAAACATACTACCCCATATATATCTTAATTCTAAGAGTTTGCTTTTAATGTATTTTTTCTACCTCGCATTGCTATTTTCTTGCTAATTGATTCATTAAGGATTATACATACATATTCAAAATGTGTTGTTTAATTTGATAAATTAAACTTAATAAAGGACAAGCTATCTTTTAAGACTACTTTTTCTGTTAACTTTCAATCCTTAAGCTCACCCAACTATACTTTGATTCGTGGAATACAGAAATATTTAAGCTTTATGAACAGTTTTCTTTTGCAAATGCTTCAGGGTATTCTTAAAGAAACTGAAATTTAAGTGCCATTAGCTGCTAATCTGTGCGAAAATCATTAAATATCTTCAGATATTAGAGGAAGTAACTGTGACTAAAACTTTTTAGCAGCAACTTACATGTAATTACTGACTATAAAGCTCATAACTGTTATTTCTTTTGGAACTTCAGACTAACAGTAATTAAGGCATTTTGGAAAATTTCCCAATAACAAGCCGGAGGAGATTAGAGTAAAGCTGTTCCATTTAAAATTTTGAAAGTGATGCCGCCAGAAAGATTTTTAGATAATTATTCAGAATTAGGAAGAAGCGTTTTATCGTTATTTAAATTTTTACTTAATTTTATTACAGAGGGAATGGAAATAGAGATTAGAGAGAATATGCTAATGAAGCTAACATATTGCTTACTTTTGACGGAATTTAAGCCTTATCGTGTAGTGTTATCTAAAAGACTTTTAAGGAAGCACAACTTGATTAAGCACTTTTCTTTATAAAAAATAAGTTTCAAATTATTTTATAATCATCTGTTAAGGGACATAATTAATGCGGTGAATCTCTTATACAAAAATTAGGTTTATTCGAAAATTTTATTTCACAGCATTGAAAAGCAAAACCAAACAAGTAATATACAAAAATAAGTCCATTCCTGTATAGGTTAATAAATAAACATTTTATTTTAGTTACTTTTTATTAAATAATTACAATTAGTATGAAATGTATATGCATACGCACTATTTAGTGACAAACACAGAAAGCTATTTTCCATGCAATTTTCCATTTTTCTTTCTATATAGGATGTTGGACTATTTTTGTTTGTTTGTTACTATTTATTCATTCATTAAATTTGATTATTCTAATAAAATAGTATAGTAAAAAAGGAATCACATTCTCAGAAACTAGCCCTTTCCAGGTGGGACTAGAACCCACGACTTTTGGATTAGAAGTCTAACGCGCTATTCATTGCCCTACAAGGACACAACGAAAGATTTTTCTTTCTATATATGCTGTTGGATTATCATTTTTGTTTGTTCCTATTTATTCATTTTTTATTTTAATTAATGAATTAATATTTGAAAAACATTATTAACATCAAGTGTCCTCCATTACAAATTTTAAAAAATGTATTTGGACTGCGTAACTCAGTGGTTCTCAAACTTTCACTACTGGCGCCCCCCTTTTCAATCACAAATTTTATCGCGCCCCCCCTTATACATTAATAATGTACTGAATGCAATAATAATGCACTTTGATGTTAAGGCTACAATACGCTCATAATTATAAACCGTACAAATTAACAAGATAAGTAATAAATTTCGTATATCTTAATTTTAAGCAATATATTTATTTATTTATTTTTTTTTTTTTGCTTTTTAGTTCGATTCACTATAAAAGTGTGTTTTTTAGTTTGTTTTAAAACTATAATTTATTTTATAATTATTTTTACTATACACTATAATAATCACAATTCCAGTGAATAATTTTGTTAAGAGAAAATATACTTACCTACTTTCAAGGACTTTTCAATTTTTCTTAGAAAATTTGAGAAAAAATCCAATAAAACTGAAGAAAATGTTCCAAATGTGCGTGCCCTGAATAGAGGACATAAATTACAGACACTTTTCGCTAACAACACAGGAACGTTATTTTCCAGCTAAACTCAAATCAACTCAAACGTTTCATGTCTCACGCTTTTCTGATATTTACTTTCGCTATCTTGATTAATATGCATTATTTCAGTAGGTTCTTCAATTGCTTGATCAGTTTCAACTTCCTTTAATAGGGATCACAGATGCCCATTTTTTTAATATTCTGCTTATTTATATTTATAAACCATAATAAATCGTACAACACAGCAATCAAAACTACAAAATTGCTCATGGGGAAAGTGTAGAATGTTCTAAAAAATAATTGTGTAAAACGTTTTTCATTATGCATTATATGTTTCAGAATATTCATGCTTATCCATATATCATAAAACTCTTTCCCATGGAAAAAAGATGAAACAGAAATATATTATATATTTACAACTTCTCTAAAAAAAAGACGGACATAACCATACCAGTAAGTTCGAAGGTCAGCTAAAGTAATATTTTAGGTTAAAAGAAACGTAATAAAAAATCTCTCATCGTTTGATATCGTTAAAAGAAACGTAAAAAAATCTCTCATCGTTCTCATATTGACCGCAAAGCAAACAAAGTATTTGTTTAATTTGGTTATAATATCAAATATGGCTAATGAGCGTTTGAAGTGGAATCTTTTATTTTTGATGATCGCCAGATGATAAAAATAAATTATATCAGTGTAAATGTGTATTTTTTATTATGTCAGAAAGCATCTTGTTTTACTTCATTCCAAAAAATTATTTTTTAAACCTTTTATTTTAATATGCTCGCGCCCCCCTCGCAGGGTTACCGCGCCCCCTCAGGGGGGCGCGCCCCACAGTTTGAGAAACACTGGCGTAACTCCATCTGGGTTGCTAATTTGATACAGTAAGGCTAGGCGCCAAGTTGTTGTTTATGTTCGCCATGATAGACGATAATATTACAAGATGGTTTACTTTGAAATTTTTTATCGTGCAATAATGTGTTTGCCATGGTAATAACGTATATTAGTGTAAGTGTTTTTTCCCGTGGGATCTCATCTTAGCAAAAGTAACACATTGTTCAAATTTTGTGTAATGAACGCTTAAAATAGCGTAAATAATTTATATCTGGAAGTGTAATACATTAATATTACCTTCTGTGGTATTTATTTTTTTGTTAAAATCTTGCCAACACCTATCCCTTCGAGCTTTAGTTTTATTATGAAATAAAAAAGTAGTGATTATACTGATCGAGGAATAAATTAAAAGCAGAGCGCGCACTGAGGCATGGCGTAGACAAAACAAAAGGATTAAGGGATCGCGTCAAAAGCGCTTGGCACGTTGCGCTCCTATATCAATTCAGTAACGCTTGTGGAGTTAAGCAGCCTGATAATTAGGCCGACGGTATCTGGTGCTGGCCGCTATTTCCAAGCCTCATCACTAACTCTTATGCGCTTGCCTACGAACATCCTTAGTGTTTTGGGAGCCTCCCAGTTGTTATACATACGACGCATAAAAGTAAGGTGCAATCTCAAATTATAAGCAATACATATTCATTTTATAAGAGTGGATTTTTATCAGATTCAAAATAACGTGGAAAGAATAATTATAGTCAGACTGGACCTTAAAGTATTTTAGCAATTTACAAAATGTAGCATAAAAATGTCGCAGTAATATCTAATGAATGTTTTGTGTTTACAGGTGTATGCGATTTCGAAGGTGGTAAGTCAATGTCAATGTAACGAAGTTTAGTTAACACATTCATTACTGTCATTTAACTTACTAATCAATTTATTCATACCTTAGAACTGTAAGCTATTTTAACTAAATGTTTTTGAAAAAAAAGTATAGAATGCCTTCTACGGAAGGAATTATTCAAGAGAGTTTTTCTTCTATTCAGATAACATATTAGACATACATGGACAAATAAACTTATTATTATCCATAAATTTAAGCATTCAACAAAATGCTGGTTTCATTGGTATGAGCCATATGCCGTATATATTTTCTGTTAGGTTATCTTAAAATTTCGTGTCTATTTTTGGTTGATGCCATAAGGAATTTTTCAGAATATTTCAAAGTCATTGAAAACCAATGACATGCATTCGCATTCTAAAAGATTGTACATCAGACATATTTGGAAAAAAAATTGGTTATGACATGTTGTCAATTTTACACACCTTTAATATCGAAGCAAAAAAAAATGAATTATAGACACATAATGTTTTTCACTTTCTGGAAAGTCAAAAATGTCTCAAAAGTGGCAAATGAGATATTCACTGTTTATGACTTTCAAGAGATTTTTTATATTTTTTATGATGATTTTATGAGATTTATTATTATTTATTTTTTAGTTTTTATAAGATATTCTCTGTATTTTATCTGAAAAAAATGTGCGTAAGTAATTTACTATGTTCAAACTCTTAATTTCTAAACTGAATATCAAGAGCCTTCCACCACTGATGAAAATGAGATACAAAACACTGGTTAACAGAAAAATTGTGATCAGTAGATTAACCCCTTTGTGCCAGACTGCGCCGTCTAGCGTAATCGCAAATTTCGGATTTCTGGGGATACTGACCTTGGCGTTGCGACGCACATTTAATTTTTCCCTTTTCACGCTAAGGTGCACATATGTTCGAGTTTTGTTTCACATTCTTAAGTTTGTATAATTATTTTTACTGTTTATTTTTACTTTTTCTTGCTAATATGGCAGCATTTTGGATTTCAACTAAAGTGATATTGAATGAAAATATTTACTGGAAAACGACGAATACGACAGTGACTCTGATATAAATTTATCTATTCCTGATGAAGAAGATAAAGAAATGGAACAAAAATGACAATGCACTTTAGTAACGCATATGGAAAAGCTATTTGTTCCAATGATCATTTCGAGCAATCTCACAAAGATTTGTAATTTTAATTCTAACCTTCTTACTTTTTGACATTTTTGTAACACAAACATTGTGTTCCTCAATTTTTCTAATTTTAGTCACAATAAAAAGAAATCCTTTGATGGTTACACTGGTTCTACACCTAAATAAGCCATGTATCCACATGAGGTTACACTGGAATTTTGCCCTATACGTAGCATGCATCCACTAGTAGTTACAAGGTGCGCAAGGGGTTACGACAAATTGTGCATTATATTAATCATAAATATGTATACTGAAAAGAACAAGCATTTGAAATTAAAATATATAAATGATTTCAATAACAATTTTAGAGATGATAAGTACAGTGAGTGATGGGTTAACGAACACTTTCACGAAAGATTTTTGTGTTCGGATAACGAACACATATGCGAAGGTGATCAAGGAGACACCCCTTAAATTATGGAGGAAATTTTGACAACAGCTAGAGATCTGGAATTGGAGATGAACGAGGATAGCATAGAAGAGTTCATAATGGGACATGAAGATGAACTGACGATAGAAGAACCCCAAGAAATTTTCAATGAAGAACACCAAGAAACACAGCGAAATGTGTCTCCTTCTGAACAAGAGGAAGACGAAACAGGACCAATGCCGACATCTGCCATTAAAGATCTTTTGAAAAAATGGGAGGCTGTCAGAGCAATGGTCTTGTAATGGCACCCAAACCAAGCTGTTGTCAGTAGGGTTGGGGATCTTTACAACGACAGTGCTATTAATTACTTCCGGAAAATCCTGAAAAAGAGAGAAAAGCAATCGACATTGGACATGTATTTCAACGCCCCATAAGCAAAAAATAAAAAGGACTGATTAATATGCAAGACTATATGTATGTATTATTTTTTTAAAATTTACTAAGAAATTATACATTTTTTAAAATTTAATTTTTAGGGCCTCCAGAACGAATTAATCGATTTCACATAGAAGTTTATGGTGAATCAATGATCGGTTAACGAACAATTCGGATAGCGAACATAGTCTTGGAACGGATTATGTTCGTTAACCGATCACCCACTGTATTGAAAAATAGAATATTCTACGGAAGTTAATAAAGATATGATAGATATTATTTCTGAAATTTTTTCACTGAATGACTCTCAAGTATTTTTTTTTCTTTTTTATCACTTATTACAAAAAATAAATGCTTTTAGCCATTTCTTTTATTTAAAAAGATACAATAATAGCATTTTCAATTTAGAAAATACATACCATAGATATCTAAACTTTAAATTTATCTATCATAGATTATATGCTTTATTTATTCCATTCCATTCAGAAGAAAATGTCCTAAACTTTAGCAAAACAGTTTCTTAAAATAGAAACCTTCGTTCCAAAAGTAATCCTTATTTCCACAGTGTGCGTTTGAGACTTAAGAGACAATTTAGAACTAAAATGATACATCTGTTGGAGAAATATTTTTCCTTTCTATTTCAGGCATTATTTTAACTTTTTT